TATTATTTTTCAATAAAATTTTGTATTTATAAATTATCATTTTAAATAATTCAAAGATTGACTTAAGTAATATTATACTTGTTAATTGTTGAAGTTTCTTCGAAATATCCTATTTTTGAGAAATAAACCGAATTCAAAAGTAATTCTGTAATTTAAAAATATTTGAAACTAAAGTTTCTTGGAAATTCCGAAAACTTTTGCAATTTCATTTTTCTGATATAATTTTTCTGATATTTTTTTCAATTCTTGATTATTCTTAATAAGCTTGAATATTTTATTTTTCAATTCGCAGCCTATGAAATAACATAGATAAAATATATAAAATAAAATATATAAAAATTATCATTAAAGTTATAATATTAACTTGGAAATTATATTTTTCAGTAATTTGATATTATTTTGATAATTTAAAAAAAAACTATTCAGTAATTGAAAAGTTTAAACATTAAAAATTTATCGAATAACAAAGAAGAGATTTAATAAATAATAATATTTAAGGATAATTCAATTACAATTTTTTATGTAAATACATATTTTTTACATATGTTTTACATATTTTATATAAATAACATAAATATCTATATTTTAAATATTGTGTCACAAACAAATTGTTAAATTTTTTTGAAAGGAAGATCACAGTTGATTTATAAAAAATTAACAAAAATTTCTTATATATATATTACAATTTTATGTATATAATGATATAAATAATATTTTATATTATGATATAAATCAATTATGATTTCCTTTATTCAAGAAATTTAATTATTATCTTTATTACACAATATTTAATATATATATATATATATATATATATGTATATGTATATATAAGAAAATATAAAATAATACAATAAATAATTTAGAAACTAATTTATACATTAGTACAAATTTAAACAATCTTTTTATATATATAATATATATACATATTATATATATAATATATATAATATGTATATATAAGAAAATATACATATTGTATATATAATATATAAGAATAATATATAATAATATATAATAATATATAAGAAAATATAAAATAATACAATAAATAATTTAGAAACTAATTTATACATTAGTATAAACTTAAACAATGTTTTTCCAGATAATTCACAAAGTAATATTTTAAGACAAAAAGAAATCAATTTACGATAGGAAATCTTTATCTAATCTGAAAAAATTATTGTAATATAAATTATATAATATTTGCAAATATATTTGCAAATTATATTTTACAAATATAATATAAATCTTATGATATATGATATGATATATAAATCTTATGATATATATATTATATATATATGATTAATATATTTTCTATATATTTTTTATATTAAATGAATATTTTGCACATTTTAACTAAAAATTTGTAATTTATCAATATATACATTTTCGGAATATGTGAAAGCTTAAAACATTGAAATTTAGATATTTCGATTAAAAAAAAAAAAACATTTTATTCTTTAGTGTGGTATAACTCATTATCGTAAATCACAAAATCGTTGTTTATGTATTCTTAATCATCATTTTCCACTAATCATTATAATTTACCGACACGATCAATAGTGACATTAATCGCTGTGTATTGACTTACATCTCGGTAAACATGTACTGATCGATTGACAGTTTATTGATGGTTATTATCGTGTGAATTTAACGATCTGAGCAAAGGTGTATTTTCATGAAAACAGGGTTATATATAAAACTGTGCTTATATATAAAACTTTCTCAAACATTCTTTATTTTCTTCAGCCCAAAAAATTTGGTTGAATTTCAAATCGTCGTACCGGACTCATTATCCTGTCCTGCAAATATCATGATTTGTTTCACAATTTTGAATAATTTTCTCCATAATATTAGATGAAACGAACAAAGCATTTCAAAGAAAGTGTACTTTCAAATGCTTTTGCTTTCTCTTTCGTTATTTTTTTGTCATTTTTGAAGATACGAATGGATATAATATATATATATGTTAAGGATATATATTATATCCTTTCGTATCGTTTGAAATTTAAATTAAATTTGACGATACAAAATTTTTATTACCAGAAAATGAAAAATTGGATTATATTTCTCACAATTTTTTATTCGTTCTAATTTATTCTTAATTTTTTTTTTTATTTTTAAGATTCTAAACATTCTGAGTTTTTAACATTCTAAATAAAATTTATAATCACATAGAAATCAAACTAATAAGACTAATTATTTTTTTGAGCATTACGTTTTGATGCTAAAATCAGATAAAAAGTAAAATTCATTAGTTTGGCTTCTGAGTATTGGCTTATATTTGATCTTTGGAGGATTGAAAAGACTTTATATAATATTATTTTAATTATTTTTTCCATTTATTAAAGTTAATTTCAAATATTAATTCAAATGTTAAAAATTTTTAAAATTTGATTTCATAATCATAATCAATATGCTTTTCTTATAAATTTCTTATAAACACAAAATTAAAAAATTTTCCATTTCGTTCTATCTATAAAGCTCGAAAAACTATTATTTATTGATATATATATACATATATTGATAATTAATTTACATTGGGCATGTTTCATATACATATATACAGTTCTTCAGAAACAAATCTAATTAATTCTATATCATTTGCCAATCCATAAAGATTAATTTGTCCTTTTAATAAATTAGAAAATTGTTTAAGATAAAAACCTTATTTCTTTTCACAAATTTTATAATTTAAAAGACATGTAATAATATTTTCTAATAATTTTACAAAACTGGCTACAGCTTATTGTTGTCTTATTATTTATAAAGCAAAAGAAATCATTTCAATATATCTAAAATATATTTATCAATACACAACAGTAAATTATTCATTGTTTTTACTTTTCAAATAATAAGAATTTCTTGATGAAGATTTCTGCAAAATATATATTTTAGATTCTCTTATAATTTCTCATTAATAATTCTCAATAATCATTAATTATATTTTTTAAAATTCAAATGCTTTTTCCGATTTTATATTTTATGCGTAAGAAAAAAATTATATACATAGTTCTAGAAATCTCTATGTAACAAAAAATCGATGTGCATGCGTATCTAAGAAGCTATATTATGCTTGTCGACCTGTTGCTACTCCTCCTTCGTTTCCATCACTTCTCCAACTCTCTCTCTCATCTCTTCGACTCACCCTCTGCTAGGAAACTGCGAAATTCTTATTTCGTTTAGCTCATTGAAAGCGCTCTATATTCTGTGTCGACTTCTAGTTATCGCTTTTCTTTTTTTATTTTTTGGAAAAGATACATTGATCCTTACGCATCCGATGTTTCGCACATCAGTAATGTTTTATATGTTTCTTTTGATTTTTGGCTAGTTTTCTGCTTTATCTTTTGTTTCCATAGAAATAAGGAATAATATAAATAAAAAGGTATTGAATTTTTAATTTTTTATTAAATTATTCTTTTTTTTTTATTTAATAATTTTATGCATTTCTTGCAATTAAAATTTTTTTTTCATATTTTTATTGAATTTTGCTTCTATAAATCATTCGAAGTTTTCTAAATGTAAATCATATAAAAGATAAAAATGTATATTTTATTTAAATATTTTTTTAATCAAAAATAATCCTTTTTCTTATAATGAAAAAATATTTACTTTTTTATTTATTTGATTTCTTTCTACAAATTTTCAAAATTGTTTTGTATATCTGCATTAATTAACATTAAGAAATTATTGTTTATGTTATTAAATAACATTAATTAATTTGAATTAAAATTAAATAAAAATATTAATATTAAAATAATATTAAAATATTAAAAAAAAATATTATGAATTTCAAATTATTAACTTTTACTAACTTTTATTAACTTTTTCAAATTTTTTCAATTTCTTTCTTATCAAAATTTCTTCTAAAAAATTTTAAATTTTAAATTTCTAAATTCTAGTAAAGTAATTTTTTGTTGCAACATATTAATTACTTTCCTTCAATTTTATTTTAATTTGTTATATCAAATTACTCTTTTATTCCTATTATTTTTATTATCTTTTTTTCTTTTCAAGAAAAGATATTTTCTCGTGTATTTTTTAAACCGTCTATTCTTCTTCTATTTCTTCTATTTCTATTTTATTCAAACGAACGTGATTGTCAAATTTCTTCTCAAATTCGCTTTTTTCTCAGTACATATCATAATTCATAATACATAGAAATTAATGATAAAACATTGATTCTGATACACTATATTCTTCGATTTATTGATTAGGAAAATGATGAAGGAAAAAAAACTTTGACTTAAATTTGCATTAGAATTTGCATTAGATGAAACAAGACAAAGATAGAATGAGATAATCTTATTTTGTTTATATCAATACCGCATTCTTTTTCTGTCTAACTTAAATTATTCACAATTTAATAAATAAAACTTAACTTATAATAACTTATAATAAACTTAAAAGTTATTTTTATATACTTTTATATTTTTGATTAATTAATTCTTTATCTCTAGAAATAATTCTTTAGAGGATCCATTCGTGCACGAATATATTAAAATCTCTTATATATAATACTTTTTTGTATATTTTCATTATATATTTTTTTTTATATAATTACTTATTTATAATATATAAAATAGTATTCCCAAAAATAGATACAAGATATAGATAAATTTTAAATGATTTTAAAATAGAAAAAAATTTGATAAGACAAATTTAAATCAATGATACAAGATGATTTCGAGATCATCTCTACTATCAAAATATTTTAATAAATTTTCTAATAAACATTTTAATAAATAAAAGCATGCATATAAAAAAATTTATATCAGTTTGATTTAAATTTATCTAATGATTTAAATTTTTTTCTATTTCATATAGTATATCTTATATAGTATAATTTAAGAACTATGCAATAAAAATCATATACAATTTATATGTAGAGAGAATAAGAATTCTAAATAAGATTTTAAGAAGTTATAAAATGTTATGAAATGGAATAGGTTAATAGTATTTTAACATAAAATTTTTTTTTATTTAATTTTTCAGCCTCGGGAGGGGGAGGTTCGATGTTGGTCCCTCCCGTGGCCCAAAGTGGGACTGGGGATCGTCCCGTGGGCGACACGGGTGCCCGGGCCCAACAAACATCAGGCCCTGCAGCAGCAGCAACTCTATGGCCCTTAGCATCCGCACAGTCCAATCAAGTTCCAAACCAACAGTCTCAGGGTATTCCATCTTTGGCTGCTACTCCCGCGCCAGCTCACAATCAAGGTACGTTATTTTTTTATATTAATTAATAAATCATTAGTAGACAATTTTTTTTTCAAAACTGAAGTAATTTAAAAATTTATTTAGCTAATAAAGTAATAATTTGATTAAATTTTATGGATAAATTTATTAATAAAAAAAAAATATTGATATTTGTGATAATAGTAATCAAGTTAAAAATTTGTGATTTTTTTTTGTGAAGTTCAGATTTAAGAATGAATATTTTTATGAGGAAACTATTTTTATACTATTTTATACAAGATTATTTTACTATTTTTATACTATTTTTATACAAAATTCAAAACAAATTAATTTTTTTTCAATTTAATAAAAAAAAATATTTTATTTTCAATTATATATATATATATATATATGCATATAATTGTATATGAATTGTATATCATGTTATATAACGAAATTGTTTTTATGAAAATTATATTGATCTGTCTAAAATTATTAATTTTATTTCTTCCAAGAAATTGCTAAGAAATAGGAAATGAAATAATTTGTACTGAAAGTAATAAATTAATAAAATATGTAATATTCTTATACATGTACACATTTTGATAGCAAAGAACTTTATGAGATATTTCTTCGTAGAAAATTTAATTGATTTTATAGTAACAGCTAATTTAACTTTAAATCTAACTTTTATTATTATATTATATATTATTGTATAATGTGCTACGAATATCAATATTTTAACAAATGGTTCGATGTATTATTTGACAAACAACTCAATTATTGTTTTTCATTTAAAAAAAATATTATTAGATTTTTTCTTATATTTATCTTTAAATATATATTTATAAATATTCATTTTATCTTTGAGAAAAATATTTTCAATAATCAATAATCTAATATTATCTAAAACATTATATAAGAATATTAGATGTTTCTAAAAATTATACATCTTAAACTAAAATTTATAACATATAGATATTGAGTGCAAATATTGTTATTTGTTATTGCATTTTTGTATATTTCTATAATAATAATTTATAATATTACATTTTTATTATATTTTTATATATTTAACAATTATTACAAAATATTATTACAAAATAATACATAGAGATTTTTCTAAATAATTAAAATTTTCAAAATATAAAAATTATCATTACTTTGAAAAATATCTACTTGCTAAATTTGAAGAGCTTGAAATATTAATATAATAAATTTCGAGCATCAGCTTTTCATGAAAATCATGAAAAGCTTATTATATAAAGTGCAAATCATAATGCCAAAGGCAAATAATATTAATATATAATATTAATACATAATGTTCAAATTGACGTATCACAAAATTTTTTAATCTATAAAATTTATTACAGTTTTATATTTGCTTATATTATAACTATATATTATTAGAAATATAATTCATGATTTCATGAATGAATGACTTCATAAAAAAGAAATCAATTTTCCATTAACAACATTTAATTTAATATTTAATTAATTTCCATAATAATAATAATATTATAATATTTAAATAATTTTTGGATTGAAATAACTGAAAAAAATTATTAATGTTTTATTATAAAAATTAATAATAATTTATATTGAATTTCTTTCTATATTATTTGACAAATATTTTGATCTTTAATTATTTTTTTTTTTTAAATACTTAAGAAAGAAAGAATATATATAATAAGAATACATTAACTCTAGATTTATGGACATTGACTATACATCTTTTTTTATTGAAATCCGTCTTTTTGACAATTATATTTGTTGACTGGGTAGTGGAAAACAATAAATAAAATATACGGGTTTAGTTAGAATGAATATATTTGATTATATGTGATTGCGCGTATCTGTTTACAAAACATTTGAAGTACGTGTATCGAAGAGAAACAAATAGCTACTAACTATGAAATAGTAATGTTGCTAGCAACATTCAATAATGAAATCACATATAAAATTTCAGTAAACTTTAAATTCTATAACATTCTCACTAAAAGTGAACTGAAATTTGTTTAGTGTGTATATGTTTATTATGTTTGAGTGCTATAGTTCTATGTGCCTATCATGTCTTCGATACTCTTGATATTCAATTGATTTCTTTGTATTTCAAATATTGTTTTTAGAGGTTTTGTTAATAGATCTACCTGCTGATCTTCCGATGTTATATGTTGCAGAAGAAACTCCTTCTCTTAAATTTGTCTCGTATAAAATGATAGCGTCAATGCGCTTCTTCGATGAAATTCTGGGTTTTTAATAAGTTTGATTGCGCTCACATTATCCACGTAAAGAGTCGTTGTAAGGTTCTTGAATATAGCTAGATCATTAATCAGACTTTTCATCCATATGATCTCTTTCACAGTTTGACTATGTTGCTATGTATTCGGCTTCAGTAATGGATAGAGCTACTGTTCGCTGTCGTATTGACAAGTTCCTCAAGCTATTACGGAATCGCCTAGTTTTAATACAAAACCAGTAGTGGACTTCCTCGTTTCGGTGTCTCCAGCGTAATCTGCATCGCTGAATGCTTTAATATGACTATTCTGTTGAATAATAAATATTTTGTTGTTCCCTTTAGATACTTGAAAATTCTCTTTACTGCATTCCAGTGAATTTTGTTGGGTTTTTCTAAATATTGACTGACTTTGTTTACTGCAAATATCTGGTCTAGTGCCCACTGACAAATATATTAAACTTCCTACCGCTTGTCGATATGGGAACTCGGATTTTTCCTTGTACCCACTTTTATGTGCCTCCACGCACAGTTGATTTTGATCTGCTAGGATTGTTACTGCATTAGCATTTTCCATCCGAAATCGTTGCAAAATTTTCTTGGTTGCAAAAATATGGAACCATCTGCCAGTCGTTCAATCTGTAATCCCAAATGTATTTATTTCATTAGATGTTACTTCAAATTTTTTACGGAGTTCAGCTAATTTTTTTTATAGATGATTGGTTTGTTGTATTAATTAGTCCATCATCGATATGAATCGCTAGAATCAATCGTGGTCTCAATCGTTTCCATTTGTAAATACACAATAGTCTGCACTGGTGGACGTAAAACCATGCTTCTTCAGTATCGCTGTAAAACGATGATTCCAACATCTTGATGCCTGCTTTAAACCATATAAACTATTTGCAAACACGATCAGTTCCATTCTCGTATTCCTTTGCTTGCTGCATATAGATGACCTCGTCGACTTTTCCATGAAAAAAAGCTGTCTTGACGTCAAATTGCTGTAAATACATTTTGTTCGAAGCTATAATAGATAATATAGTTCTTATTGAATCGAATCTAACTACAGGACTAAACGTTTCATAATAGTCTATTCCAGCAATTTGTTTAAAACCTCTAGCAACAAGTCTTGCCTTGAATCGTTGTATGTTTCCATCGCTATTTATTTTCAGTTTATAAATCCATCGATTATCTATGTCTTGATGATCTGATGGCGAATTTACTAATGTCCATGTTTGAGTTTTTCTCAAAGAATCAATTTCGTCATCCATGGCTTCTTTCCATTTGACTGCGTTGCTATATGTGATCGTGTATGTCATCATAGCTTTCCGATTCATAGTGTGATCACAATATTTCCATATGTGAGTCTGTCTGGTCGGCGTATTTTATTTCTGTTTCTCAAACGTCGGTCTTGTTCGTATTAATTTTTAGCTTCTGGATCGTTTGATTCTTCATCTAAATGTACTTGTTCGTTGTTTTCGGACTGAATAACGATTTTTGATTCGACATTTATTGTGTCATCTTTCTGATATTCAAAGATTATGGTATTGACTCTGATTTTTCATTTGAATTAATTTCGTAAAGTTGATCTGTAAATCTTACAATAATCCCTATGTATTTTAACTTGTCCTCTTTCAGGAAGTCAGATCCGAAATCCTTTTGTGTTTTCATCATATCCAACGAAAATGCCTTTTTCGGCTTTGACATCCCATTTTCGTCTCTTCTCTTTAGGAATATGAAAGTATACTTCTTCTCCGAAGGTTCTGAGACTTGAAATGTTCGGTCTCTTCTTGAGCCACAGTTCAATAGGTGTTACTCCTTTCTTCACACTGGTTCCGGTTCTATTTAAAGTATAAACAGTATAATTAACTGCTTCAACACACATTTTGATTGGCAATTTTCCTGTATGTAACGACGTTCTCGCTAAGTCAACTACAGTTCTGTTTTGTCGTTCGACGCAACCGTTCTGTTCGGAGTAAATGATACTGTTTTCTGATGCATAATGCCATATCGATGTGTTAGTTCCTCAATTTCTTTATTGACGAATTATTTCAAGACCATTATCTGATCTGAAGATCTTGATTCCTTTTTCTAAATGCTTATCAGTCTTCTTGAAGAAATCCTCTAGACATTGTGATGTCTCTAATTTATTTTTGATAAAATATAAGCTTCAGTGACTATCATCTTTCAACATTAAGAAATATCGAGCTCTTCCAAGCGAATTTTCTTGCATTGAACCTGAAAGATCTGCGTGGATGAGTTTTCCAATGAATTCAGATTTTGTATCACTTTTTAGGAATGGTAGTCTTTTCCCTAAAATGCAATCTTCGCAACAAAATTTCTGATCCTTAAAAATGATGTTCTCGGATTTTAGAATTTTCTTCACCTGATCCACATTCTGATGAGCCATTCATTTGTGCCAGAAGAAAAGAGAATTGCGTACTGCTACATTTGCCTGATGCTCGTCTGTAATGACTTTAAATTTCATTACGAATAATTTACCTTTTCTTTCTTCACTACAACAATATTTCCATTCTTCATGAATGTGCATATTTTGTTATTGGAGTATTGTCGTAATCCCTTGTCAAGAGCTGCACCCGCTGAAAAAAGATTGAAACTCAGTTCTGATATATGAAAAACATTACTGAGATACTTTCGCATCCATTCTTATCCATTGAAAGCAAGATTGTCCATATCTTCTGATCCAATTGTTTGAATATATTTTCCGTCGCCTATCTTAATATTCTCTATTGTGTCAAATTTTTTATACGACGAGAACCATTCACGATTTGACATATGCTCAATCGCACCTGAATCTATGTGCCATGCATTACTAAATTATATTCTATTTCTAAATTATATTCTGCAGACATGATTCCAATGAGTGCCTCTCCTTTCCTTCCTTTGTGTTTTTCGTTTGTTGCTGCTTTTCGGTTTCTGCATTCCTTGATCCAATGCCCTGGTTTGTGGCAATAATGACATACGCCTGGTTTAACGTTGCCTTTTTTCTTGTATTGATGCTTATTAGCAGTAAAAGCAATGTTCTCTCTTGACATATGCTCTTTCTTCGGTTCCTGTCCTTGTTTCATCAATGGTAAGTCTTGAAATAAGATTTGTAAGAATTCTTTCGTTGGATTGAGTTGATTCCCACGCACTAATAAAGTATTTGAATGACAGAATGTGATGAGTATTTTAGTAATAATGATTTGATTTGGAATTTTCTCACCCAGAGTTTGTAGCCGATGTGCAAGATTCTCGATTTTTACAATATGAGTAGCGACATCATCGCCCGGTTCCTTCTGTACCATAATATAATGTACCATTGCTACAACAGCATGTGTATACTCGTAGTATCAGACTAGTAGTATCATACTATGTAGTATCAGATTTTGTTCGTAAACAGATTCCAGCTTTTTCCACATATCTTTAGCCGATTCACAATTGATAATATGCAAAAGTGGTTTTTCATCCACTGATGTGGCAATTATGCGTTGAGCTATACTGTCGAGTTTTGTTCAGGCAACGCATGCTCGATTTGTCGCATCATCTGCTGGTACAGGAAAAATTGATTCATCTGTAACTATTTCCTATGCACCGCAGGATTTCAAAGTAACGCATACTTGAAATTTCCATGAGGCTCCAATTTTTCCAATGTTTTCAGCTTATTAATACGAATAGTTTCATATTCCATCACGATTAGGGTTATATTTCACGTTTGCTCAAGGCCGGATAATTAATCCACGTGCTTTTTCAATTTAATTGTACTTTACCTAATTTATTGTTTCTTTCATAATCTGGGCCCGTAACCTGTTGACTGGGCAATGGAAAACAATAAATAAAATATACGGGTTTAGCTGAATGAATATATTTGATTATATGTGATTGCGCGTATCTGTTTACAAAATATTTGAAGTACGTGTATCGAAGAGAAACAAATAGCTACCAACTATGAAATAGTAATATTGCTGACAATATTCAATAATGAAATCAATATAAAATTTCATGAACTTTAAATTCTATAACAATATTACAATGCAATTTTTTGTAAATTATTTATTTAAAATCTATAAATTTTTATTTACTCTTGTCTAAACCCGTCAAATTGACGAGTTCTGTAAATCTAGTGTTAAAAGTAAATATTTTTATTTATTTTGTTTAAATAAATAAATAAATAAATAAATAAATGAATGAATAAATTTTTTACATATAAACTCTATCTAGGATGTATATTTTCCGCATATATACTTGTTAGATTTATTCAATGCAAATTAAAGCTATTTTGTTCATCTTTATGGTCACTGCCCAATTCTTTAGCTAATTAAAAAAGAAAATTCTTTCGAATTTTGTTTACTCCAGTGGTCTCTTTGTATAATAATCCAGGCATTGATGGCTGCCAAATCTAAAAACAATTATAAAACATGAAGGGGCCATCTACGGGATCACTGCTTTCATAATATTTTCTTTATTATCAGCATCTTTTATTTCACTTTCGCTTTCAATATCTGAAATAATACGCATTCTTTTTCTTTTACGGTATGTATTATGATAATTTTAAATAATTCATTCCCACTATTGTGAGAATATTCAATTTCGTTTATATTGTCAAATTGTTCCTCGCTTTCGCATAATTCGTTTATATCAGAATCCGATCCAAATTAGTCTTCATTTATACTGGTTATTCTTTTTATTTTTCTTATTATTCTTTTTTATCAATTCCATCTTTTGAAGATTTGTCCATAATAATATAAATGTAAAATAATATATTTTTTTGGATAAATTTTGAAAATATCTTGAAAAATTAAAATCTTCACTTATGAAAATAAAGTTTTGCTAAGCTTCCAAATAGCATTTATTTTTTTTTTTTTACAAAACGTACTGAAATTATCTCTCACATTGTTTTATAAAATAATAAGACAGATTCATTTACAAAAATCATTTTTTTTTCTGCAAAATTCACCGTTAAAGGGATTATTTGTTATTATATCACAATTATAAATAACTTGTTTGATTATGTATTTATTGCTAAACAGTCGTCATTTGCTTGGTGTTATTTTTTCTTATTCATTGTTATTTCATTTTTGTTATTTCGCAATAATTGATCTATATTAACTCAAATTGATGGATTTTCATAAAAATAGGTATATAATATCTAGAAATAATAAAATATAAATGTTTCAGAGAAAACGAATAAAAATATATATTTGAAATATGTAATATATATATTTGAAATATATAAAAACTAATATATAATGTTTAAAGAATAATATTTGCATAATCAGAATTTTTAAGCATAAAATTGAAAACCCGTCAAATTGACGAGTTCTGTAAATCTAGTGTTAAAAGTAAATATTTTTATTTATTTTGTTTAAATAAATAAATAAATAAATAAATAAATGAATGAATAAATAATCTGTTTTCATTTTCATTATCTATATTAAAATATTTTATATTATTTTATAATTTTATAATTAGATCATGAATTCTAATTATATGGTAGTACGTCGCCGTGGGCCGAAATAGCTCAGTTGGGAGAGCGTTAGACTGAAGATCTAAAGGTCCCCGGTTCAATCCCGGGTTTCGGCAAAATATTTTTTTTTATTTTAATATTATTATTAAATATTTCATATTTAATTTCACAAGCAAATACTCGAAAATCAAATTTATAAGATAATATTTTATAAGAATTGAAATAATTTATTTAGGAAAATATATTGCTAATATATTTAAGTATTTTTTTATATTTACTTCTAAGTTTTATTTCCAAAGAAATTTTTTTTCAATCTTATGTATAAACATTGATAAGTTAGATATAATAAATACCTTTCAAAAGCCGAAATAGCTCAGTTGGGAGAGCGTTAGACTGAAGATCTAAATGTCCCCGGTTCAATCCCGGGTTTCGGCAAAAGTAAATTTTTTTTAGAATATTTTGATTTTTTAATATTAACATTTATTATAAAAATATTTTATAAATTTTCCGATTTAATAGTTGCACATATATTAATTTTTTTTCATTAAATTTTAATTTAAGTGAAATTTCTTTTAATCTTCAATGCAATTCATTTTTTATTAAGCCAACTTGTCAAAATTTGTTAATATTACAATGATAATAAAAATTAATATGGTATAATTGATTAAAAATTTCAAATTCTTTTATTAAAAATAAAAAATTTTTATAGGAAGATTTTTATAGGAGATATTAACTTTCTTCGTATGTTGATACGAATTGATATGAATTATATTTCTTCGTGTATATACTGTTATAGTTTATGTTTTATTTAGTTTTAAATTATTTACTTCATTGAGTAATTGAAAATTATATACAAAATTGAAAATCTGATTTTAAAATAATCACTAAAACTAAATATCATATGCAATATCCAAATTATTATGTAGAATTATAAAAAATTTTATTATTTATAATACTGATATTATTTCTTATTATTTTATATTACAATATATAACAATTCATAATTTTATTTATATTTTCATTTATTATATTTATGTTTATTATAAATATGAATGCTAAAATAATTAATTAAGAATGTAGATATGAATTATTTTTTATTCATTCAAATGATATGAGAGATATAATTTATTTTTATTTTATTCATTTCCACGAAATATCAAATTTTTATTAAATCATTCAAATAATGTTAAAAACTTTATAACCTTAATGAATTAATAATCTTCCAATCAATTTTTATTCCACAATTCAAAAAGTATTTAGAATTCAATCAATATTTCTATATTTTATTTATTCCATTTATTCGCTGATAAATTTTCTTATTCTCTCGATTAAAGTTTTTTTGATTAATCAAATAATAATCACCAGAGAGTTAGGAAAAAATTCGATATTTTCATTTTGAAAAGAATATATTATCAGTGATATTTAAATCGTTAAAAATAATTCTCATCGGTCTATTTAATCGAAATGCTCGGTTGCCGTGCCAACGGTCATGAGATCACGGGTGTAAAAAGTAAATTCTCTGTCTAAATGGTGTTACAGGTGTGAGTCGTTACGGGCTGTATTCGTTATTCCCTGGGGGTGGCGGGGGCAGTTACGTCGCAGCCACTCCCGCCACCCCTGGACCACCCACACCTGCACGAGCTTATCACGCGACAACACACAAGGGTAAGTTTACAACGATTTCTATTTATTTTATCCTCCTTGTTTAATCGTTCTCTTTTTCTTTTTCTCTTTGTCACTTTGTCTTCTTGTTGTGAGTCAAATGCCTCGATTGATCTTTTTACGACTTGTTGAGTGTTATTTTTAATATACTAGTTTCGATAGTTATATATCGATTTGACAAAAATTGATTCGAATATTTAAAAAATTATATAATATTTAAAAACATTTATATAATATTATTATATAAATGTATATTATATTTATATAATATATATAAACATTTTTGTTTAAATTTAATTGATAAAAAAGTTATAATAAATATATTATAATAAGTTATAATAAATATATATAAATATATAAATAATAGAAAAAATTCTTATTGATTTTATGATATATAATAATAATAATAATAATAGATTCGTTTTAAACATATTATTATAATTTTAGTATATCACAATTTGTAATAGAATAAAATCATTAATTTTTGTCTTTAAAAAGAATATTATTATTATTATTATTATTATTATTATTATTATTATTATTATTATTATCATCATCATTATCATTATCATTATCATTATCATTATCATTATCATTATCATTATCATTATTATTATTATTATTTATTATTATTTATTATATATTTATTATTATTAATTTTATATTGTAACAGTAATTATTACAAAAAAAAATATATATAATAGAATCATTAATGTTAATTAAAACGAATATTAAAACATAAATTAGATTTTTTTGTTACTTTATTATTATTTTATTCAATTATAATTATACCTATATAATTTATTTAATGGTTTACAAGTTTTATTTTTTTTAACATATTTTTCTTTCTTTCACACTATTTTTCTTTCTTTCTTTATTTTTCTAAATTGAATTATATTGATCACTTTTCAATCATTTACTTTTTCAGATTTATATATAGATCATACTATATAGATTTTACACAAATATTTGTACTTTTTTCTTTTTATATTAAATGCTATTTTGTTAAACAATAAATATTTAATGATTTGATTTTTGTATATTTCAAAAATTTACTATTTTTTTCTCAATATTTGTTAATTTTAATTATTAATATTATAATTTTAGTTATTTTATATTATAATATTTTAATGCAAGATTATAATGCAATTATAATGCAAGAATATTAATATATATATATTAATTTCAAAAAATTTTTAATATGATAAATAATATTAATGTCATTATGCTTTCGTTAAATTATATGCATGTATAGTATCATATTACATTATATTTTAATTAAAATACATTAAAATTAATATATTATATATACAATAAATGGTAAATATTCCATTTTTCAATCAAATATAATTTCAAGTTATAATTTTAAATAAATAATAATTTTCTGTTTTAAAAATTAAAATAAATCAAAATATTACAAGTGAAGGAAAAATGCTATTTAACGATTAAAGAATAATAAAATTGAAAATATAATATTTAGTTATAGTAATAAATAGTAATCTAGTAATAAAGTTTCCAATTGTAACTTATTACGACATTATACACCTATTTTATACAATCATAATATTTATATTTCTATGCTCCATATGTTTTTACATAAATTTGCTTTTTTTTTACGTCTCTTTCCAAAAACTTTTATTATCACGATTCTCGGAATACTTGTACTGTTGTACATTGTACTTTTCGTACAATAAAGTATACCTACGAATACTCGTAGCCACGTAAAGTTGTCGTGAAAATTCGGATATTTACGGATTCCATCGGCTTAGATCGTCGACATTTTGTTCATTGTTCGTGACCAGTCGGATTCGCACCTCTGTTGTGATTGGATGTGTGTTGTCCACGCTCTTGTGTTATGTATATGGTGTTTATGCTCTTGGTCTATACTTCCGGCTGTTGCGCTTTTCGAACCGTTTCGTGACTTGCGTATGTACGTATAAAAACTTACAATGTTATTTTTATTTTTTTAAACTATTTTCACGTTTCTTCTATCACATATTTCTTTTCTTCAATTGTATTATTAAATTGCAATATATGGAAAATATATTTTATTACTATTTATCATAATATTTTATATTTAATCATATATTTTATAAACTATTTATCATAAAAAAATATTATTTATATTTCAGTTTGTACAACAGATAATGTATTTGATTAATATTAATTAAATATGTATTTATTTTCATTAATATAAATAATATTCATTAATATAAGTAATATTAATATAACTAATATTAATTTATTATTAGAATAATAGAATAAATAATTAACATTAATATAATAATAATATTAAATTATCAAAATCGAATCTTTTAACTTTTTATCTAAAGTTGGAATAATTTTAATTAATGACTAACTAATTGCAATAGCTTTAAAAATATTCAATTTAGAAATTATATAAGAAATATTAATATTTAATTCAAATTTAATTTTTAATATCATTAAAGTAATAAAACATAAAATTTATTTTTCATTTCTTTCAAATAGAGTAAAAATATAATTTTTTGATCTTATTTAAATGAATATCGTACTAGTTTAAATAAATATCGTACTAGTTTTAATTCTATTAAAAAATCAACATCTATTCATTATTAATATTTGAACATTGCTTTATCTCTAAATTTATTACTTTCTATATTATAAAATTGTTTAAATATCTTGTTATTTAAAACATATGAAAATATAAAGAAATAATTACATCTAATATATTTAATCTAAAATGTAAAAAAATTTGTATATTAAAAAATTTTATAATTACGAAATTTTATAAAACATATTTTTCTATAAAATAAAATATTTCTTTTCTTTTAATTTTCAAATATTAATAAGATATTATAAAAATATAAAATTCTTTTTTTAAATTTCTTTGTTTAAATTTTATAAATAAATATTCATTCATCAATTTATTTTCATATCAAGCTATACAATATTTAAATAATCTTTTTGCATATAGTATAATAAAAAAGATAAAAACAAGTTCGAATATTAATATAAATATATATTATATCTGCTTGTAATTATCTTTGTGCTAATTTAACGATCAATAAGTTTTAAATATTTCAAAAACAGATACTAATAAATTAATTGCTATATAAATACATAAAATTTCTGGCGTCATCATCTGATTGTTTGCGGATAATATATGTAGACAATAATATATCTACATCTAATAATCTTTACATTAATCGTCTTTAATCTTTGAATCATTCTATGTTGATATAATTTATAAGATATATCTGTTTTTCTATATATAGAAAAAAAACAAAGAATTATTAAACAATTGCAAAGATGTAGATTTTTAATCAGTTTTATTGGTATGGAAATAATTTCTTCAAATAATTAAATCTAGACAATTTCGAATTTAAGAATTTTGTAAGAATGTCTAAAAATAATTTTGAAATCATATTATAAAAAGTTGGTCCAAAAATGGTCCAGAAAAATATTAATTAATTAATTAATTAAAAATATTAATTTTTATACAATTCTTGTTTCTATAAGATTACTTGTAACGTTAAGATATTTACAAAAATAGTTTAATATTTTATTTAGATATATGCTTATTTTGTATTTATCTATAGATATTGTCTCTTGTTTTTAATCAAAGATAAAATTTGTCAGACTGTTTTGAGTTTTTGTTTTATTTTCAATTATTTGTATATTATCCGCGGATAATATATGCGAATTGTTTCCATATGTTTACGAATAATCTTCGGATTTATCTTTCATAGAAATTTAGATGAGGCTTTATAATCTTAATTTGATAATCACAGATTATATATATTATTCATTATTTCGTCGTTTGTATAAAAAATCACACAATTTCAATAAAGTTTCTGATCATCTGATCAGTTTCTACGAAACATTATTTTTGTCAGATTTGCAAAAAAAATTATATTGAATTTTGCATATAGATTTCTATCTCTGAGATGCGTTTGTTTCCTCATTATTTCCTATTTTAAACAATTTTTCAAACTTTAAAAAATTTTATTCGTTTCCTCTTGTATTATTCTCATGTAAATGCCGTCATTTATATTACACGTTTTCATCGATTTTTTCGCACGCAGTGATTTCCGTATTATATGAATTTTTTAAACTTTTATTTTATTTTATTTTATTTTATATTTTATTATATACTAATTATTGATAATTTTTGAAAACAATGAAATGAATGAAAATGATTTAAGGAAATTAACCTTATATACATATATAACATATATAATATTATTACCTTATTATATAATATTTAAGATAAAAAATTGAAAATATTTTCTGTTCTGTTTAATTTCAAGTTTTAAAAAAACTTAACGATAGGAGAATCATTAATTTCGTCCATTGTAATTTGTAACTTTGTAATATTTTTAAAAGATTTTTAAAAGATTTTGAAAAGAAAAGACAATGATGTTTTAATTAAATTTTTAATTAACTCTCATCCTAGCATAAAAAATAAATATTTCAATTATGTTTCCTTTTCATGTTTATTCACAAAAAATTATTTCACAAAAAACTTAACTCATGTTTAAAAATTTTATCCTATAACATACTATAACAAATATATTTGTTTAAAATTTTTATTTTTATTTTTTTCTTGACAAACTGGCGAATTTTTTTTATATTTATACTCTATTAATTTATTACTTCTAAATGAACATGTTAATTTTAAAAATTATGTCATAGAGAAATATGTGGATTTCAAGATAAAAAGAATCGGTTGTTTTTAATATCTGCAATTTTCTAAAAAATTTTCTTTGTAATATATAATAAAAAAGATATAAAATAAAAAAGAAAATATTGAATAGTTTCTTAAAAAAGTTATGTTTTTGTTAATAATAATATAATTATTGAAATTTAATATTACTATTATTTATAATTATTTAATTTTTTAATTTGATACTATTATCAAATGATGTTACAGTTTTATTTAATTTTATCAAAAAAAAAAAAAAGAAACAAATAACCTAAATATAGCTGAATATTATTATCAGCCGATTAATATTAATTAA